ACGTGTTATTCTAGTCTAAAGAAATAACATACTTTTGATGTCCACTTGATTGCAACAGAATAACATCACGCTTGTAACTAAGGGAGTACGGCAGAGTTGAATTGAACGCTACGTCCGTACATTGAGTACTTTTGTATTATCTGTGTATCGTTTAAAGATTTTAAAATATAAAAAGAACCTCCATTATCACAGAATAAAGATTTTTATTATTTGTTTACCTTATGAATCTTAAATATACCACACTTTTTGGATTCTGTTACAATTATCTGTTTCCGATCATATAATTTGTATGTCGAAATTTAAGTGTTAAGACCAAAGACGTTTGTATTCCATCCACAAACATGGTGAGTGGGCAAACAAATTCACGCCCCGTTAAACAAAGAGTAGTTTAAAACCGGAACATTTTACTTAACACAACCGTTTATAGATTTCATGAATTATGCGAAACACAAACATTGAACTTTTCGACACATGTAATACGTACGTTAAAATATTTAACGTTTAAAATTGAAACAATAAGGTATACATTTTATGGAATATAGCTATTGCCAGCAACTCTCGGCGCGGGCTTTAAAAACTTAAGATATATGTTCTTCCAGACTCTAGATTTGTGCCAAATATCGTGTTCCATCCAAAGTTTCACGTTTATAATATTAGTAAGATGGTTAATTTTATGATGAGGATATCAGTTCAAATCCTTCATTTATATTTGAATTTATTTCTTAGTATAAGTTTACAAACGTTTATATTGTTACTAAGTATCCCCGTTAGAATAAATTTATACGAAAAATCAATAGTATTTATTAGTAGGTAGCGGTTAAAAACGGTGGCAGTAAGAGCGGACGCACACTTTTGACTGAACTATCGCACAATTGTCAATTGTTTCACAGCCCAATAAACTGTTTAGTTGCACAACTAAAGATCGAGTGTGCGCACCTCAATAAGCTCATATGAATCAAAGCGCGACTAAACAATTGTGCGATAGCTTAGTCAAAGGTGTGCGAGCGCTCTAAGAGAGAGTTAAACTTCATATCAGAAACAAAAGCTGGCTATCTTTTATCTCTTTTACTTTTTCTGTAGAAATGCAATTAGCTAGCATCAGACGAAAGAGAAAGGAGTGTATAATCGATTACCGAGCGAGCGTGGAATGATGCTCAAATTAATAAACCGTGTTATTGCATCAATCTCTTATTGTTCTTCTATGATAGAAAATGTACAATCGCGGCAATACGCGGTGTCTCACATACAGAATACATGTCTTGTAAGATCAAGGATACGAGGATATACGTAAGGATACGAGATATACTTCGCTTTTTCACATCACCAGTTCACTATACGTCTCTGAGGCGCTCGGATCCTACCCTAAGTAAGGTGACTAGGCCTTCAACTTTGCTCTTATATTTAACGAATTATGTGTGAGTTGCGCAAACGACGGGATAAAAAAAAATTAGCCGCACACAGACAGATCTTTTAGCGTAGCCAATTAAAATTACGTCTGATTTATTTTTCCGTGACGTTTCATTGTGCGCATTAAATTCAATACCGCAAAAATCCCGGATTGTACATGATTAACACAATAATGACCCTTCAATTAAAACAAGGTTAAAAAACTAGCAAATCACAGACATTACGGCTACATAAAGTAACTTTTAAACACCTTAAAAATTTAACTATGATTTCGTTCGAAAGATAAATTCTAATTTTGAACATGATTATTGAAACAATTTATTACAAAAGTATTTCTATACTAAATCTTGTTTCATACAGTAATGTACAAAGCCACGTGCCGAGTCTATCAATTAAAGTCATGCTCTCGATTCTGACTCACTCCTTTATAGGAACATAATTTAATGCGACCTTTTAACTGTGACCAATGTTCATTCAATCTATTGATAATCGACATTAAACGAAGAAACAACAATGAGACGTCAAATAATAGAAATTACTAAGCTTATTAGACAATTCTATCGCCTTTTTACAACTTATTTAACACGCGTATTTCCCAAACCTTCACAGATTTATGGTCATCTATTTTTCACAAAAAATTCTGCGCATTTTTTATTTTGAATCTGTATGTACAGCTGTTTTAAGTTTAATACAAAGAAATACATCTAAGTAGGACTACATATCAACACAAAACGCCTACACCGTATACCTATATTAGACATTCTCAAGACTATTGTCAGTCATTGATAGTCGACCTAACTTACAGGGACTACCATCATTACATTAGCTTCAATTTACATAACAAAGTTACCGTCGCCTAAGATTAGATATTCTACACTACTAGGTAGTAGTTTGGGCTACGGATTTTGCTACTTCACTGCTACCGCGTATAATAGCAAGTGATTGTAAAATCTGCCAACATAGCTCGCCGAATCTCAGCAACCCTTCAGTGAAATACCTATCATTGTATAATATGTTCATATATATTCTAATTGGTTGACTGATAATTGGTTGATATTATCAGGAATGCATACTTTTACTAGTGCCCTGGAGAAAACTCTGCACCGCCTCTTTTACTATATCTAGGGGATTTGTGGTGCCCCTATCCCTTAGGCGCCCTGAGAGGTTGCCCATCTGCGCCCTTCTCGAACTATCTCGGGTTATACAGTCGAGATAGTTCCTAAAATTAATATTTATTTAATTACTCGTGAAATCTTTATTATAAGTTAGTAACATTAAAAACATTATTATAACAATTGTAACACATTATCTTTAATAAGAAGTCTATCGCTATGTAATTACGATACGAACGTACTTGTGACGATAACCGTTTGATAATGTTCGATAAGGCCGAGACACAGTTATGCAATTAGGACAAACTAAGTTTATTTGTACAGATTACTATACGTTTTCTAGAATAAACGATCACTTCTTTATCCAACTGACCCAAAAGATTTTTTTTCATTCGTAAGTACAGTCACCACCTTTGGTGGTGTTGATATTTCAGAAAAACCTCGCACTTTGCAACGTACGTAAGACGCCGTAACGAATGTCGAAATAATATTAAGCAAAACAAGCCGATACTTTTTCACGTAAAAGCCTTTGTATGTAAAAATGGCTTTTAACAGTGGTAGTGCCCGCTTTAACATCTTAGCACGAATGAGCCGGCTCGCCCACAGTAATACCACGACCACACAGAAGACAGGCGAGAAATGGAAGCAATTCTGTGTTTCGTCTGATGAGTGTGGTGCCGGAGGCCTAATTTAAGTCCCTTTCTCTTTACCACCCTTTTCTTAAAAGGAGAGGATGGGAAGGGGAAGTAGATTTGACTGTGGAGGAGATGCACAGGAAGGGGATATATCCTCTTTATGTGCGTCTCCTCCTCCGTCGGATAAAGGTAGGCAACGCATCTGTAATTGCGGATGTCTATGGACAGCGGTCGCTTCGCCATTTTGGCGGATTCATGTGGCCGTTTGCTCGTTTGCCACCTTATGTTATATAAAAAAAATTGCTTGTATTTAGCTTTTTCTGCTGTATCAAGTTTCCATGATCCACTATATCGCCTTTAAAGTGGATCACCGTCAGTAACAGCCACTATATAATACGTTTCGAATGAGAATGTGCACGAACAGGTAATTCAAAAAAAATCAAAATCGGTCCACTAGCGGCGGAGTAATGCCGTAACATATAAAAAAAGAAAAAAAAACATACAGAATTGAATACCTCCTTCTTTTGGGAATTTGGTCAAAAAGACTTACCAAAGGAACTGCAGGCGTCCTTCTTTTAGGGAATTTAAACCTTATGTTATAAAGGTATAAAAATCATTATAGAATAAGTTTTTAGGACAATTTTTATTAAGTTATGTCATATACATTATGTTGCTTAGTACACAACTTTTAATAGGTAGCATTGAATGATTTAAACTTTTTTTTTGAGATTTTTAGAAAAAAAAAATTCTTTATTGAGTTTTGTATTGGTTATTTCACAAAATTTACCTATGTATTCAAAGAAATGTTTTCTTTTTTATATGGCAGTTTTTTTCAATGATACCTATAAAAATATGTATTTTACATATAATTTTATTACTACAGAATATCAACTAATTTGTTGCAAATGGCATTTAATAATTGCATAGCAAGTTTTTTTTAATTTTTTTGAGGAAATAACTGGAATGTATGGCAATTGTAATCAGTCCGTTTTAATTTAAAAGTAATTTATTGAAGTTAATTTTGCTTATTAAGTTATGAAATATTGCACTTTTTTTTATATTTCTATTAGTTATTTCCTTTTACACATTTTCATACATAAATTATGAATACCAAAAAACATTGCAATTAGCTGAGAACTTTTTTTTTTAAATTCTCAATATACATATTTAGTCAAATGCATTTAATATACTGGAATCTGGTCCTCATAGCCAACTATAATACAAATTTAAAAAAAATATGCATAACTCAAACATTAAAACTAAAAATTTCTACCTTTCATTTAAATATTTGCCTAAAACTAATAAAACATTGGCAGCAAAAATGAATGCACATTTCGTCATAACAAAGTTTAGAAATATTTTTTTAAAAAGAACTAAAAAAAATTTTAACATAAATTTAATTATAAAATAATAATAAATTTATACATTTGTGTATATTTTATGTAACAAAATTATATTTGTTATAAAACTTACAAAATAAATCGGCATTAATGGAAACATAACTAAATAGGATGACTAGGATTCTAGGATCGTAGTGTTTATTCAAAATTTTGTATGTTCAATAAGTAAGCCGATATTCAAATATCTTGTAGGCTCGAGAAATCGTGCAAGATGTTGCACAGAACAAAACATTGGTAAAGCGATGTACATATCGCACTTTTATTCATAAAATGACTCAAAATTTAAGTTTTCCATAAACATTATTTTCGCGAGAAGAATACGACTAATATTTATTATTTACTAGATTTCGCCCGCGACTCCGTCTGCGCGGAATAAAAAAAAAGCAAGTAGCCTATGTGTTCTATCAGACTATACTCTACATCTATGCCAAATTTCATAGAGATCCCTTCAGCCGTTTAGGCTACAAACTCTAACAAACATCCATCCATCCATCTAAACTTTCGCATTTATAATATTAGTAAGATTACCCCAGGGGTAGTTAACATATAGCTGAGCAAAGGCTCTATCTGTTCTGCATTGCAACGCTTACTTATGTTGGGCTTACTGTCCTTTTTTTGTCATATATTTAACTTTTGTGTACTTAGTTTTAATTGTCATAGATGATTTTTTTAATCTAAAAAAAAATATTATTATTATTATACAACTCGAGTCACAATAGAATGAAAATAAAAGAGATACGACGTCTTTCTCTTTTATCTTAAATCTCCTGTAAACATTTCGAACTTCAATACGCGATTTCCCAAAAAAAAATTTTTTTGAGTTAATTTTTTTTATGAATAAAAGTGCGATATGGAGTGTGTATTTCGCAAGCACAACTTGACCTGTTAAGATATTTGAAAACACTTATACCTAGATAAGTATCCACTGCAGAAATATTTATACCTGTTCTGATACAAACATAAGGTAAGATTGGATTATATTGTTTTCTCTGCAATGTTCTTAAATAAAAAATAAACTTTATCAAAATGTACAAAAGTATTAAAATCGTAAATTTCAATGTCCATTCAAAAGGTTATATTAATTACACTTATTTTAATACTTGTACTAATGTATGGAAAGTATCAAATATGTATTTAGTTATAGTCCGTTTCAAAAGAACTTATAAATTTTGTAAACAACTGGCACTATACTATTTTTCAATTAATAACATCTTTTTTTTTTAATTTGCAAGACAAAATATCACTTGAAGACATAAAGAAAATGTCATAGATTTTTTTAAATATTACTATTTTTAATTATTAATAGTAATTCAATCTAATAAAATACAAAAAAATCAAAGACAAACTAAAAAACATAAAAAACGTTACCTATGTTTACAAAATCTACAAGCCCTTACTGCCATATACTAAAGCATATAAAATCAAATTGTACATACAAAGTTACATAATAATCTGTGGCTCCGGCACTGAGAGTGCTATAGACTTGTGCGGTAACACCTGACCTCCGTTAATATAGAGTTCATCTTTAACTATGACATCCTCTCCCAGCACGGTGCAGTTCTCCATACGTACCCAGCGGCCGACTACCGACCTCCAGCCCACAATACAACCGTCCAACCACGCGTGCTGGCGAACACACGCCCCTCGCAGGATAGTACTGCGTTTTATACACGCACCTATACATTACAATATTTTAATTTTTTTTTAAATTATACCAATACCATTCTACATATAATTGCCAGCTGACTGGATTGTAGATATATCAATCACTGCATAATTGTACTTTTTTAATTATATTTGATTGTACATTTTAGAATAACATTTAGATGTGTGACTAAAATAGGTATTAAGTTTTTTTTCTGTTTCTAACAAACTATGAGCAAAAAAGAAATGTAGCTTGAAATTAAGTTTATTATTATTATTATTATTATAGCTGGGATGTTACAAGGAGAATGTTAGTTATGAGTGTGGAATGGTACACCGGTAGAGGTACACCTAGAAAGAGATGCGATGACTGAGATGACGTATGACGTATGACGAGTTATGTGGAGCCAAAAACCTGCCGCCCCGACCCTACGAGAGTGGGATAAGGAGGATGATGATGATATCATAGCTATAAAATTAGATATAAATATATTAGATTAAGTTTGAGAATACCAGAATGGTAAAAAAATAAAGGAATAAAAGGTTAACATGGTATGGGCATTTTATGAGGGATGAATCGCATGTAACAAGAAGGATGCTAGTTATGAATGTGGAGGGGTACACCGGTAGAGGTAGACAGAGAAAGAGATGATGGATTGCGTGAAAGGTGACATGATCAAGAAGGGAGTGATGACTAAGATGACGGATGACAGAGTTATTTGGAGGACGAAAACTCGATGCGCCAATATCCGCAATTACAGATTTTTTGCCTTAAGAAACGGTGGAAGAGACGCATATAAAAAGAATCACATAAAAATCCACTTTCCCATCCCACCCTTTTCTTATAAAGGATGGGATGGCAAAGTGGATTATATCGTCGAGGAGACATATTGGAAGGGAAAAGATCCTCCTTATGTGCGTCTCCTCCGTCGATTAAGGGTAGGCAATGAATCCGCAATTTCGGATGTCTATGGGCAGCGGTCGTTTCGCTTTTTCAGCGATTTCAGGTGGCCGCTCGCTCGCCACCTTATCTTATTATAACTAAAGTTTTAGTTCACGTTTATTAAATTAATTCATACTCAGAATCGTAATCACTAAGAAAATTTCTTAGTTTACATAAAATCTACACTAAGCATACAGTAATAATGAGTTTCACATCTTTAGTTATTAATACAATGAAAATCGTGACACATAAACTGCGTTTTATATGAATACTGACGTTAGGACGAAAATATTATTATCTTGTAAATAATTGTGTAATATCATAAATACCTATTTACTGTGACATATAAAAGCTTTGGTTTATTATGTTTATATTAACTTTTATACTCTACGTCTTTAAAATTCGTCAAATATTATCTACATAGTATTAACAGTACAGTTTGAGTATTCAGCCAGAAAAAAAACTGGTAAAATATAAAACTCAAAAATTTTTTTAGACAGATCCATTCTCATATTAAAAATTACCACTTGATTAGTGTAAGATGTTATAAAAACTTACCATCTTCAATAACTACATCTGGTCCAATGGTAACATTAGGTCCGATCCTACATCCTTTCCCGATGGTTGCTGTCGGGTCTATCAGCACATTGCCAACCACTCCCGCACCATTGTGCAACTTATCCGAGTTCTTTTGCCTTAGACTGTTCAAATATAAACACATCCCTGGAAATAAAAAAGGTTTTGTTGATAAATTTACATATAATTTTTTTTATTCTTATTGGAAATAATAGAAATAATTGTTTGTGAATTATAATTAAAGATTACGCAATTTATTTTTCAACTACAAATGAGTAATTTCTTTTTATTATAATGTAATTCTTATCCTATTAATCCTACTAATAATATGTGAAAGTTTAGATTGATGGATGTTAGAGTTTGTAGCCTAAACGGCTGAACGGATCTCTATGAAATTTGGCATAGACATAGAAGATATGGACAAACACATAGGCTACTCACTTTTATTTTTTTTAAACCACGCGGACGGAATCGCGGGCCAAAGTTCGTTCCAAATAAAAGTAATTCTAAAAGGCAGTCAATGAAACAGTTTGATAATTTTATTGAAACTCTTGTTTTCTGTAAGTAATGTAAAATACAGACAAATGGGGATGTTTCCTAATTTTTGGAATTGCTTTTATTATGTAGATAAACCATATCTAAACAAGAAAAAAAATATAATAAAAATCATATATGCAACATTTAATTACAAAAACACTTATTTAAAAACAACTTCTCGAAAGACCTCGAAAACGCCTCATGACATGACGTCACATCTTTGCTAACAAACCTCGCGTCGCGGTCTGTCAAAGTCATTCAAAGTGACCAGACGTAAATTGAATTAGCTATTCAAATAACTTTTACTATTTTTTTTTCGTCATAGTGATCGAAAAATTTGCTCGTAAAATATGTCGTAAATATAAATACACTTAATAATGGAGTCCTCATAATATAACACACGCAAACTCAATTATTATAATCATTAAAAAAAAATTATAACTACAAAATGCACTGACATTCACTGAAGCTGGTCACACTGCCATGTTGTTTGCGAAGAAGCTACGTCACCGAGCTCTGATTGGTGACTCTGAGATAGAGTAATGGAGGGAAAAAAATATTGCAGCGTTTTTAATTTATATTTCAATGGAGACAAACATTTAAGGTCTCCAAATGTTATTATAGGTTTTAAAATATTAAACATAACTTTATTTGAATTTGTAACATTAGGAAACATCCCCATTGAGAACCCTCCTTTTGGAAGTCATTTAAAAATAGAGCGAACTTAAAAAGAAGTGAAAATATTATTGAACTGTTAGCGTATTCGTAACATAAACTAATATATATTTACCTGTTAAAAAGTCTTTAGGCTGTCCAACATCCATCCAGAAACCTTGCAACTCCATTGCATACAACTGACCATCTTGTGCCATAAACGGGAACACTTCCTTTTCTATTGACATCGGTCTTAATTCAATACGACTCAGTACAGATGGATTTAGTATATACATACCTAGAAAATATAAACAAAGAAGGCATTTATTTATTTATTTACTAGCTTAAACCTTTACATAATACTTTGGCGCAGTTGGGCGATTGACAGTAAGGGGTGTCTCCGGTCTCAATTACCCTCAAATAACAATAAACTTTACACCACTCTAGTCATAAAAAATTTCCCGTCAAGGCGCATTCTTGCCCAGGCGCTTGTAACAATATACAGTTACAATATACATTTTATCTGATTTAGTGGAAAAGTATGGTTAAAACACAGGGCTAGATACCGCCTATATTTGTCTAGATACAATAATGTTTTCTTAGTAATCTAATACTGATAACACTACACTTATTGATAAGTATATTTGAAAAATTGTTTTTGTTAATGGAAATAAAACCTCGCCTTTTTGGTTATCAGTAACTCTATGTTCCAGTTTTACCTCTACCTGTCTAGTCTACTAAATTTATTGTAAATTAGCTATTGCTTGTGACTTTGTCTGTGTGAAATTAAAAATAAAAAGCACAGCCATACTCACTGATAACATAGTATTCTAATGGTGAAAGAATTTTTGTAATCGACCCAGAAGTTTTTGAGTCATTTCAATACAAATTAAAACAAAAATAAAAATCTTTTATTGTTACAATATAAGTAAAGATTACTCACCAGCATTAATTTTATTTGAAATAAATTCCTTTGGCTTCTCAATAAAACTTTCAATTTGACCATCCTCTTTGTAAACAACAACACCATATTTGCTTGGCTCCTCTACTTTGGTAACAACAATGGTACCTTCCTGGAATAAGACAAACAATTAATTACAATTTAAAACCTAGCATGATTTGTTAGTTATAGAATTATTACTTAAAACAAACTTAATAGATTTCTAGCAGTTTGCTGCAACTTCACTTATATAGAAAGCTTAGTAGCTTATAACATCTTGCAATGTTTTACATTTTTGCTAAATATCTTTAAGATTTGTTGAGGCATTTATAGATAACTAGCTTTCACCTGTGACTCCGTTCACATGAAAAAAAAATATGTAAGTAGCCTATGTAGTCTTCAAGACTATCCTCTACATCTATGCCAAATTTCATTAAAATCCATTCAGCCGTTTAGGCTACAAACTCTAACACATATATCCATCTAAACTTTCGCATTTATAATATTACATTAAGATTAGTAAGATAACTAGGATCCATTAATCTAATTTTTCACAATTATAATATTAGTAAGATGAATACTATATGATAAAATTATATTGAAAATATTACGATTGGTTTACATTACAATAAATTGTTTATTCTTTCAGTTACAATATAACCTTTTATAAAAAAAAGCAAAATTACTATTTACTTTGCCATGACTCCTGTGATATTTAGCCAATTCCTTAAATGGGAAATCACATATAACATCAGAATTCAACACAAAAAATGGTTCCGGACTTGTAGCAAGCAAGTCCCTAGCTAGTGCAAGAGGTCCAGCGGTACCCAATGGTTCAGTTTCATGAGAAAATGTTAAAGAGACACCGAGTTTGGACACTTGTTCAGTTAATTCTTTTTCCATATCATCTGCTCTGTATGACACTGCTAATATCACCTGAAAACATATAGATTTACAACATAACTTCAAGCTTTAACTAGTCTGAAGCCTTTTTTATAGATTAGTTTAAAATAAATTGAAAAATTCGTGCAGTGCTAGTCATATTTCCTAGTTGTAATAAAATTGGATATTTCTTGTGCACGCAACTACTTTTAGACCTAAGTAAGCTGGTAAACTTTTACTTGTAACCGCAGAACCGTGTCCATACTATTCCAGGAAAATGGACAAAAACTTAGGTACTTATATCCTAAAAATTACTTGTCATAATATTACGAATTTGTTGATATTAATATTAGGGAACTAAGAATAAATAATCAACGTCAATAATATTGTATAGATATATATCACATACTTGTGTTACACCGGCTTCAACAAGAGCTTCTATTTGATGCATCAAAATTGGTTTGTTTGCAAACTCTACAAGTGGCTTTGGCCTGCTCAGTGTCAGTGGTCTCAAGCGAGTCCCATAACCGCCAACCAATATTAAAGCACGTATTTCTCCTAATTTTTTATCGGAACCACACATTTTGCGAATTAATTGTTTCTTGTTATCTCGCAATAATAACAAATATCACCTTGTACGTGGCGCCCTTTTAAAACCTTACTATTTTTTGACACATAAATGACGTTTAAATGCCAAACTGCCAATCAGTTCAAAAGATATTATATAGAATATAAAAATGGCAAATTCAACTATTGTTGAGGTTCATAATTGATCTTGTCTTCAATTTTGAAGCAGTAAATCTATTGAACAATTTAAATTGGCTTATTTAAAATAAAACAGAACAAAGTTTAAAGCTCCATTATTTTTTAGAATTGGTTTAAAAACGTCAATAATTTGATAGAACAAGGACAAGGTTCAGAAGTTGTCTATTTCTTTAATGTGACATTACGTAATGGCTAGCAGGCTGTCAGTGTCATAGTAGAAATTTTATTAATTTCCGATAAAATTATACAATGGCTGTCTCAGGTCGAATTCTTCCTTGGTTTAAAGGTAAGTTAACATATACTTTCATATTTTATCCTTATGTATTTCTCCATCTTATCATTACAAACACCAAAGTTTTATCATACTATTCTTTTACATGATAATAACCTTGTCATACTGCCATAGACTTTTTGAAAGTCAATAATTAAAATTGTATTAAATGGTACCCATCATGTGATAATTCTCAATATGTATGGATCTATTAGTATCCTAGCTTTGTACAATGTCAGATCAATTAAACGCTAATTTCACTGAGACCTTCATCTATAAATAATTGATGTCTACAGTCATAATTTTTAAACACTGTACCTAATGAAGTAAAACGAACGTCCAGAAATTGACAAAAAAATCAATTATTACGCTTTAATCAATTTAAAAATGAACATGCAAGGTCCCAAGCATGTGTTTGTAACTTAATTCATTTAAATATATAAAAAAGGAAAGAAATCACTATTTTTTGTAACTAATTTTTAAATATGTACTATAACAATTTTCAACAGCATGCAGCAGTGTTTCTAAAAACTTAACTGAACTTTGATCTTTGTAGTTACAAACAATACTCCTTATCACAAATGTTTTGTTATTGCAAACTAATAACAAAGACATGCAAGAATATACAAAATTACATAATTTTTTATAGCTACGTCACTTCATCTATTACAGACATTATTCACCATAGAAAGCTACATTATCGCAAACATAGACTATATTATTTATTAGTATATATAAAAAGTTTATTTTTAATTCCTCATTGACATAGTTGCAGACAACTGCCAGTATTAAAATAGCAATTTTTAAGTTTTTTGTACTGAAAAACTTTTTTGCTGTATTTATTATGTATTTCTACTAATTTGACCACAGATGGCCTGAGACTCACCAGTGTGAGATACTCATCATGCGGAAGTGGTGGTAAGCCATATGAACAAACACGTAAAAATCTCATGCTAACCAAAGAGACCAGAGTCATTGTTCAAGGTTTCACCGGTAAACAGGGCACATTCCACAGCCAGCAAGCTTTGGACTATGGAACAAATATTGTTGGAGGTGTGTCTCCTAAGAAAGCGGGAACCGAGCATCTCGGGAAACCTGTATTTGCCTCCGTAAAAGAGGCCATGGAGAAGACCCAAGCTCAAGCCTCAGTGCTTTATGTGCCACCGCCAGCTGCAGCAGCAGCTATACTTGAAGCTATTGCTGCGGAAGTTCCTCTTATCGTCTGCATTACGGAAGGTGTTCCCCAACATGTAAGTATATTGAATTTTTCATTTAATTTATCTCTTAACTGCTATTCCTTAAGATTCATTTTTCACTATACAATTTCCAATCTTAATAAGTTTCTGTTCATATATGTGGACTTTTATCTCCATTGTAATGGAATTAAGATTCTAAATAAATTTACAAGTTTTCCCCCATATTAATGTAAATTTATGTGTGTTTCTTAACAAAGCAATAAAGAGTTGAGTTCAATTCATCTATAAATCAGTAATGTAGATTTTCTTGTTGTGTAACTACCATACTTTACCTTCTTCATATTGCAACATCACTTTTCAAAATAATTTACAATAAAATTGTAGTAAGGGTTGATTTATTATGTTTTTAACATGTACACACAGGCTATATATGGTTTAACAATATCAACTAAAATTTAGTAAATTGTTATTAATAATATTGAAAAGCACTGGCTTAATGAATTGTGTTGAGAGAGATGTTTAATAAAGAAGAGACATTACCAAGAGACAGGGTTGCCAATTCATTTTAAGAAATGTTGTCATATAAAAATTACACTTATACTTTTAGAATTTGCAATTCTACTATCAAGTTTCGTGGTTAATGCAACTATTATATAATTTTCCAGGACATGGTCCGTGTGAAGCATGCCCTTCTGCGGCAAAACAAGTCCCGGCTGGTTGGGCCTAACTGCCCAGGCATCATTGCTCCAGAGAAGTGTAAGATCGGCATCATGCCCGCCGCGGTGCACAAAGCTGGTTGTATCGGAGTGGTATCTCGTTCTGGTACTCTTACGTATGAAGCCTGCCATCAAACTACTGTTGTAAGTGCTTTGAGTGTATAAGAATTATTTTTTTCTGCTGATCACATTTTTTAACTGACTTCAAAGAGGTGGAGGTTCTCAATTCAATGATTTGTTTTGTTTTGTTTTGTAATTGTACAATTATTACTCTGAGGTTTATGATCCTATTTTCGTTTCTTTATTTGTTGGCGGAAAATGTTGCATTCAAGTCCAACTTTTATTTTTTTTTAAAACTATCACATAGTTTTACAGTTTATGTTAAAAAAGCATACTAAAGATATTTTTTGCCTTAAAGTAGGATTCCTTTTAAATTATCATGTCAAATTTCAGACTGGCCTCGGACAGACCCTGTGCGTCGGTATTGGTGGTGACCCCTTCAATGGAACAGACTTCATTGATTGCTTGGAGGTGTTCCTCAAGGACCCACAGACGAAAGGAATTATTCTGATCGGTGAGATCGGTGGCCAAGCTGAAGAATTGGCTTCGGAATATCTTACCCAACATAACACTGTAAGTTAATGTTTTTATGATGAAAGATTGTATTTGTGTGTGTAATAACTCAATAACTACAGGACTGATTTAAAAATTCTATAGTTATTATATTGCAATTGCAAAATACTGAGTAACAAAATGTTTGCTGGACAATTTAGGAGCAAAGCAAGGATATATAGTTGTAATAATTTTAAAAGCACTGTTAAGCAGAAAGGTTCCTTATAATTTTGTTAGTTATTTGACTAGGATCTTTGTTGAATTTATTTCTCAATTAATGTTCTTCTTTTTAGCCGAAAAAGGTAATGGAACAAGATAATGCAAAGAGGTTTCATTATTCTTATCACAATCTCAGTGTGGTATTTGCAGTGATTTTATCAGATTTACTTTTGAAGTTTGTTTTTTATCATTTTTAAAGTACTTTGAATTGATTCATTGCAGTTCATCTGTAAATTATACGTAGGAACGTGTTATTTAACTAATTCTGAGGGCCTGTCCCACCACTGGCCGATAGAGGGTCAGATATTTTAAAAATGAACTGTCAGATAAGAGAACAAAATCTGATATTTCCATCAAATATTTGATACATTGGATTGTTACTTGACAATTTACTATTTGGTAGGACAGACCCTAAGTGTCATTCAGATAGAATGGTAGTTTATAAGTGAATTATCTAGTTTATGCGTGATTTTTCACTGTACATGTACTTTGGAATTGCATTTATATGACTTCAGAAATCGGTGTGTCAGTGAATTTATCAGTTTATACGCCACTAGCATTAATTTAATCATCAATGTTCACACATATACTAATAATTTAATTAGTGTATAGTTAACTGTTACTTGGTAATTTGATTACTTAACACAATAAATGCTGCTACAATTTTCACATACCAAACTCTCGGGGAATGTTTAAATACAAAATTGTAGTGGTGGAAATGTGTTAAACAGTCCTTAAGTGTACATTTGCAGTAAATCGACACTAAAGGGTTTCTTAAGAGACCTTTGATTATTGGATTAAAAGTGATGTTGTGTTGCAGGGTCAAAAAGCTAAGCCTGTGGTATCCTTTATTGCTGGTCTGACCGCACCGCCCGGCAGACGTATGGGACACGCCGGTGCCATTATTTCCGGTGGCAAAGGTGGTGCCATGGATAAAATAAAGGCACTCGAAAAGGCCAATGTGATCGTAACCCGTTCCCCAGCCAAGATGGGAGTCGAATTACTGAAGGAGATGAAACGATTGGAAATTGTCTAAATTCTTAGATTTTTATCTATCTGTTCATTTTGTATAGATTTTTTTTTTAGTAATTATATCGACATTATTTATTTTGAATTGTTGTTTCAGTCAGATTTTATTTTCTCGATCGTGAAAACTGTTGTACCAGTGTCTATTCCGCCCCGATATACTCTTTTTTACTTGTTTTGTTTAAGCAAGTTTTTATTACCTCATTATGGAATTAATTCACTAAATTGTTAGAAGAGCACTCCGAGTTGATGTGTCTATTGTTATAACTTGTTAAGTATCAAACTGTTGCGGTTTTGATAAATATACGCTGACTGCTTCTAAGTGATTTGTGGCTGATATAATCTGTATGTAGTTAAATGTGCAATTTATTCCTATGAAGACAATTATTAAAACGAATACTACAATAAATGTCAGTATAAATATTCAAAGCATTTTTTCTTCCATCAATTATGAATCGATTCGATACATTTTTGGGGATTAACCACTTATATTATTTACCTTAAATAAAGTATGAACATTAATAAGATGTTTCGTGAAGCAGAGAAAATTTAACCCATTATTAAGGAAATTGCGCGAACAAGTGGACACGAAATTTTAGTTAAAGGTAATGCGGAAAAATAGGCGACCACTATTTTCTTGGGTGTTGCCAAGAGCGAGGGAGGCAGTTGCCCCCTTCCTAGAGAATCTGAAAATGATATAAATAATTAAAATAAAACGATTTGTTTACATTTTTTATAAAGTGAAAGTATGAAAAACACGTCATATGAGGCACTTAAGAACAATACGGGTAACATCTTCAAGATATCAACAAAATTCCGATAAATATTTTGTCAGCGTTCCTGACAACTTGAAACCAAAAATAATCACTTAAAACAATAATAATACCACTACTATACGCTTCAAAGTAACATGAATTCTTAAAGTTAAGTATAATGGAAATTAATGTTTTATTTAGATAATTTAAGTCATCATGGGTTACCACAGACAGTACAACTGAAGCAAAATACACTATTCCAATAGTCCTATTTTTTAGAATCATACATTTGCTAGGAATGTTACACAACTTATATAAGATATGTTTGATATCTTAAGTAAATTGGCACTGCTGAAAAATCCTACCATAAAACGTTTCTATCTATCTTGCATGTAATAAAACTAGTATGAACCCAGTCACAAAATAAACACTTAACATAACAATGGTCAAATGACCTTATTCTAGAAATAGTAAGAAAATCTTTAAAAGAACTTATAACACTAAAAACCTAAAGATTCAAATCTAGTAATACTTTATAACTGAAGTACAGTCAGCTGTTTAAACATGTATACATTTACATAACTTTAAAAACCTGTATATTTACTTATCCATCAATAATATCGCGAAGTCATCTATTGATGAGTAGCGGAATTCATATCCAAATAATCAAGCTGTTTCTAGTATGTTCGGTCGCAGCAGCAAAAATGAGGTTCGCGAAAAGATGTCTGGAATATTCGAAACGGCATCGAGAATGTTCCATTATGAAATGTATGTAAATCGGACTATCGAGAAAGTTCTGGAATAAAAGAACAAATGAATAAAGAAAAGAAAATCGAAATTCGGGGTGTATAACAAATTTAGCTTCGTAAATAAATACATTTTTATGAAGCTGACTGTACCAATAACAATCACAGACATCATTTGAGATAATCGCGGTGGGAATTGATTTTACACATTTGTTTGTAGACTAAAATGTAGTATAAAATGTTTAAACTAAATTTGACATTTTTTACTTATAATGTAAAGCAGGAAATTGTTTTTTTATTATCTAGAAATAATTAAACAGACTATTGATCTTTGAAACATTACTCTACAGTATTAATTTTTAATCATGTTTAAAAATACTTGAAATAAGCTGCATATAGTATATCCATGCACAATTAGAGAGTAATTAATATCTATTGTATGAATCTCTATGACCATAAGATCCTCTGCCACGTGAGCCTCTGTGGCCACGTCCTCCACGGTCCTCACCGGCTCTACGTAACTTCATAGCGTCAAATCGTTTTGCCATCATTTCCAATTCATCAGGCACTTCTTGATTTGCTTCCTCCAATATTTTGATAAGTTCTTTAGCATGTGACCAATCACTTCTTGTTACAAATGTTATAGATGTACCAACTTTTCCTGCTCTACCAGTCCTACCAACACGGTGCACATAATCTTCAATATGTCGAGGAAAATCGAAGTTTATAACATGTGTCAAGTCTTGTATATCAATACCTCTGGACGCAACGTCAGTGGCTATTAAAATATTAACAGAACCATCCTCCATTTCCTCTAATGCCGCTTCCCTGTCACTTTGATCTCGATCACCATGTAAAGACTGACATTCTATACCCTTTACACTTAATTCCGTGCTAATATGAGATGCTGTAGCTTTTTTGCCACAAAATACAATAACCTTTTCATTTGGAGCCATATTAGAGATGAATGTCATTAAAATACTTTCTTTATCTTCATCTTCGACAAACATTATCTTCTGAGTGACAGTATGGACCGCAGCAAGATCTAATGATCCTACATTGACTTGTATGGGATCATTCATGTAAGATTCAGCGAGACGTCTCACACCAGGCGGCCATGTTGCTGACGTCATCACGGTTTGGCGATCCGGTCGCACATCAAACAACGACTTACGTATCTGAGGCTCAAAACCCATATCTAACATTCTATCAGCTTCATCTAAAACAATGTAAGAAAAATTGATAATATTTAAATGACCTGCCAGAATTAAATCATTGAGTCGACCAGGAGTAGCTATCACTATATCCACACCCTTAGACACAACCTTTATTTGTTCTCTACGGTCTCCTCCACCATATACACATACAGATTTCACATTTTTGTAATGGTACTTAGATACTTCTTTATGTATTTGTAGGGCCAGCTCTCTTGTTGGTGCTAAAACAAGCACCGTAGGGCCTTCTCTCTCTTCTCTCGGTACAACCTGATTTTCGATATGAATCAAAGCTGGTAACAAGAAAGCTAGTGTTTTTCCAGTACCGGTTTGAGCAATTCCTATCATATCATCTCCTCTTAAAAGTATTGGCCATGCCTGACTTTGGATTGGTGAAGGTTTTTTGAAGCCTTGTTTATATATTTCAGCTAAAATCTCTGGGTAGTCCTTAAAAGCATGTTCAAATGTTAATACTGGGTTAGGAATGGGTTTCAAATCGGTCCTATCTTCAAAAGTTCTCTTCACTTGAATATCAAAATTAGCGTGTCGCCATTTTGCAACTTGTTTCGGTGACATATTAGCAACTTCTGGGTCTTCTTTGTAAAAATTCTTGACAATAGCTGGCAATTTAGCCCATTTCTCTTTTTGTGCCTGGTCATAAGAAGCATTCAGTTTATTCCAATCTAAAACTTCAACCCCATGTTCATTTATCATTGTAAATGTTTTTGATTTTGTCCCATTTTCTGATGCTGATGCTGCCTGACTACCAGATGCTTCATTACAATTTTCCTCTGATTGTCTCCAATTTGACCTTTCCCGTTGTCTACCACGTGTCCCGCGTCTGTTTTGAGGACGTGAATGTTGAGATTGATGACCATAAGCATTTGAACCATCGCGATTGATTTCTCGAGTTCTGTTAAAATCATTTTGTTGATATCTACCTCTAGTTCCACGAGATCTGTAGTGCTGAGTGCGCGGATTTTGTGGAGCAGGCATCTGCAAAGTCACCGGCTCTTCTTGCCATTCATCTTCTATCACGTATGCCATTTTATTCTATGTTTAGAGGGTAAAATTTATTAACCTGTAACATAATAAATTATTTTTTAACATATGACTAGTCTCCAGCAATCAGCATCCAACTTTAAGAGTACTTATTGCGAAAAATTTATTTGTTTACTTCAATGTTGAAAACTTTACCTTCTAACGTGTTCGGTACTCGAATCGTAAGCAAATATAAACCAAACAGGGTGCTTCTAATTTTTACACAATACTTTGCGTTTATTTAATATTTTACTTTGTGTGGTAAGCGTATGAAAGTAAAAGCATTAATAACGAATTATAAACACATATTTGGGCATTACAAAAATCGCAATTTCCGTTTAAATTTGACACTTTGCCACAGGCCACTGACACAGAGGCTCTGAAACGACTGAAACCACAGAGTACTTTGTAACATATTGACTGAAACTATAAACTGATAGTTTGTCACAGAGTCCTGTCCTGAACCGAGATTGCTTAGCAGTTGGTTGCAAGTGAGAATTTTAATTTCTGGTTAAATCCCGCTGTTTCGATTAAACCATAGATATATTTACACAGGGCAGTGGATTTAACCGATCATAAAGAATTATAGTAATATATTACCACCTCAAAGTTTAAAGAAAAAAAACATATATCTGCGATTTTTTTATCATTAATCAATTTTAATTATTCCTAATTTAAACGAAATAACTAGTGCTCTAAAAGACTAAGAAGCTCTAGAAATTAATGACCTGTGATATCAACAACATATATTTATAATCTGCCAACCAAGGAAAAATATATAATCTGGTAACAAAAGATATATCGCCAACTTTACGAATTTCCCGTTTTCGGAGGAGTTTTTCAAAATGTCCATTTCCCTACTAGTCTGATGAAAGGCATTTTCACTGCAAAAAAAAATAATATAAGTTATGAATTTTATTAAAAATGCGGTCTCCTCTACAAAGAATTTCTTCTTTATTGTTTTTCAATGAACTTTGTAACAATTTTATAGCATATGTGTCACTCTAAAAGATCACATAATGATTTTTGCTTCGTAGTTATAGTGAATAATTTTTGTGGAATAACTAAAACCTGATCATAGTTGGGGAGTTTGAAACTAATTGCTGACAACACTTTAAACGAAACGTCTAACTCTAATACTACAAATCTACAACAAAAGTGACAAAAGATAGAAAAACTGCTAACTTCATTCATAGTATAGCATAGTAAGGTCAAGAAATATTGCATTGAAATTGCTATTGAACGCAAGAGATTTTTATCCAAGATAAGATTAAGCGAATCTCTAATAGCTCTTGAACAGTTTACATTAAAATGTTTTGAATACAAATTATGGAGGTGTGGTCAAGATGATACTAGACAATAACTTGCCGCCTTTGAAGCTAAATTGAAATTGTCAATAATTACAATTATTTTCTAATAGTGAATTACTGCCGATGAGTCTTTAACACAGTATGCGGGTTTCGGAAGAAAAGTTTTAAAAAAAATCATTGTTTATCGCGACTTTTCAATAATCTCCAAAAATGAGCAATTGGGCGCGACGAATGCACCGGCGAGCTGCTACATTGAGTAACGTAGTCACGTCTTGCGGACATCCTAATTCCCTCCCATATCCAAGACGTTTGGAAAAAGTTAAATTCGGTGTACCCCTTCACGAAGTCTGCAAAGATGATATACCGGGTCCTTTGCTTGTTAGTATGAAAACTTCAGTAATTTATGTATTTCTGTATTGATCGAGTGTTTAAGTGGATTGTGTTGTGTTCAGGTGCTGATTTTAAAGTTAAACAAAGAGGCACCGTTACGTCGTGATGTTTTTCGCGCTCCCGGCCATCAAGGTGCTATGAAAAAGTTGATACACTTTTTACAGACTGGCCGGCTTGTTAATGTGGATAATTACTCCGTGTATACTATCGCAAGTGTTCTAAAAAAATTTCTCAGGTATGTTTTGTTAATTAGACATTTTATATTGGATTTTCCACTTGTAACCTCGCTACAATTGTCAATCTGTGTATAAGATGATCAGTGCAGTAATGGTATCAATATTACTATTGAAATTTTATCGAAATATTAAGGAGAAATATTGAGGTGTTTAAATGAGTCATAGCTGCCAGTAGGGGGAATATCTCCCTACCTAGAGAATCAAAAATGTAGAATCTAATATTATAAGTTCAAAAGTTTAGATGGATAGATGTTGGCATATGTGTGGAGGATAGTCTGGAAGGACATATAGGCTACCTTTTTAATTCCACCCAGATGGAGTCACAAGCGAAAGCTAGTAGATATATACCACAAAATGTATTCAATTTTGATAGGTACCTTAGAAACTACACTCAGTTTTATTACTACTATGGATCACATGTTTATAAGCATCTTTTAAATAAAAAAAAAAACATTTTTACTATTAGCTTCCTCTGCCTCAAAGGCTGATGATCCCCATGTGTGCATTATAAGAATATTGTTACAATAAACATTTATTTTCAGGAAGATCCCAGGCGGGGTGTTTGGTCGTGATGGTGAAATGCATCTATTCGCTGCAGTGGAACTACCATCGGAACAACAAGTTGGTGCAATTCGTGGGTAAGCTCCTATCTATACTAGTTTAAGCCTGCAATAGTGTCTGTACAAAATTAAAATACTTGCTAGGTAACCTAAGTGTTCTACATCTGTACTAAAAATTATCCAGGTCTGTTTTTGAGTTATGTGATTACAAACATCCATACATCATACTTCATACTAATATTATAAATGCGAAAGTTAGGATGGATGGATAGTTGTTTGTTACAGTTTGTAGCCTAAATAACTGAATGGATTTTGATGAAATGTGGTATAGATGTAGAGGATAGCCTGGAAGAATACATAGGCTACTCACTTTTGTTTTTTTTAAACCCACGCGGACAGAGTCGCGAGCGAAACCTAGTCCTTTCATATTTATATTAGACTAAAATACAAAGTATAAATTAGTGTCATTTAAAAACTGAATAGCCTATGCATTATTTCATACAATAATCCATACACACATTCTAGATTGAAGTAATAAACAACCATACATACAACATTTTTATGCTTAGTAAAATTTGTAACTGTTAATTTATTAAGTACCAGTACAGTAGAACCTCGGTAACTCAAACCTTGGTAACTTAAAAACCTCTATAACTTCAAAAAAATAATATGTTCCCTTCCCATCAAAACCCAAAACATCTACAACTAAGACCCTTGCTAACTTAAAGCCTCTATAACTTAAAATATTTTGTGTTTCCCTTGGACTTCCACTTATCGAGATTCTACTATACTTGGGAATAAATTGCAATTTGTTGTCAACATTTGTAGTGGACCCCTATTCAGACATCAATTCATTAAAGAGGGGAGAGATGAGGAAATTTATATCAACCATTGCAGACTTTTTATTGCATGACTGTAGTGTGTTTACTTAATTTTTTATGTGTCTGCTTGAATTCTGAAGTTATGAGAGTTCAGATTCGTTTTTTTAATGTCTTAGTTGCCTAAGATTGAATTCACAGATTATACTAAAGATGTTTAGATATCAGATTTTTGTATTATATTTCAAGTACATAGAATGGAGGTCTTTGCTTATTACATTAACCAATATTATCCAATGTAATTATATTAACAACTATAAATTTAACTAGCTGTTCCCGTGTGAATGTCAAAATGACATGACATTACAAACCTTGGCAATCTTGCTTCCTTGATGTTGGCAGCAACTTATGGTCTCTTTCCCACATTAGGGTTTTTATCCAAAACATTTACCCCCTAAGTTTAATGGCGTGATAATATATAGTCTAAAGCGTGACGTAAGTGTAGGGCTCTTCATTAAAGAAAAAATCATTCAAAAATATGCTGTAATTGCTGACATCTTAGGCAACAAAGAAGTGTGGGTTTACGCTTTATTATAATAGTATAGATTAACCATGTCCCACATAGTCTAATTTTCACTAAAGCTACTTAATAATGTAGAAATCTTATATGATTCCAATTTAAATAATCGAAAGTCAATAAACTTCCGGTTAACATATTCTTGTAATTATTTTATGATGTAAACAAGCAATTATGTTTTAATATAACATAATAAACATTCTCATAAACAATGTTAGATGATTCTTATGTTAACGTCTCTGCCAATAAAAGATGACAACAACTTTTTTAATTAAATCAGGATAAAAAAAACGAAATTAATTTATACTTCTACAAAAACGTTTTTTTATCTATCTGTTTTTTATATTAAAAAGTAAATAACGAAATGTTTTAAAGCTGTTTCAGTAATAATAACTAAATTGTTTAAAAACATATTACATTACTTAACTGTTAGTAATCTGTATAAAAGACCATACTTCTCGTATTCTTCGGAAATGCAGATGAAAATATGTTTTTCGTAGATGTAATAAATTAAAAGGAAAATCCTGGTTTTAGCATATCCGACAAAGTAATAAAGCATGGTATTCCTAGTGATGATTCAAGTCATTATAGGAATTAATTGGCATATTAACAGCTAGCCCGATGCAGAAAGTGTTCCGATGTAACCGCCTTACGCAAGTATTCTTCGTTAACCAGGTTAATACGGTATTCTTTAATTATAACAGAGCGATAAAATTTCTTAATATTGAAGCTCCTATATCTATACTCATATTGTAAAGGGAAAGATTCGTATTTTTGTATGTATTGAAATAACTTAAATACTATATAGATTACTAAAATTCTTTCACGATTAAAAAGCTACGCCTATGCTAAGTTTATCAGTGAGTAATATAGGCTATATTTTTAATTTAACGCGGGCGAAGACACGAGCAAAGGCTAGTGTTAAGATAAAATAATTTTTGACATGGGTGAGCAATACTTTTCGTTTTTATTTGTACAACCGATTTTGTATTGCTTTTGTGGGTTCATGTAATATTTTTTATTACTAGTGTTAGACTGGGTTAAAATTATCTGTTTATTCATGTTAATTTCCATTTTTTGTAAAATCTTTACTAGTCAATGTCCTTTAGTTCAACCGCGTTAAATGAATTCGCAGTGCTATTTTAGGTTTTTAAGCATAACAGATTGGCTAAGGTGGTACCGTCTAAAATGCATTTCGGTTGCTTAATATTGTCTTGAAAATAAGAAAGATTCTCGTAGTTTTTGAGATCGATTTTTAATATCCATACCCCTCTTAGGGTCGGTGCGAAGTTTTTGTCCTCCACATAACTCATCACATAATCATCCGTCATCTGAGTCATCACTCCCTTCTTGATCATGTTACCTTTCACGCAATACATCCATCTCTTTCTAAGTCTACCTCTACCGGTGTACCTCCACATAACTAACGTCCTTCATGTTACATGCGATTCATCCCTCGCCATATCATGCCCATATCATGCTAACCTAATATCGATACTAGGATCTTCTTTATTAAAACAGATATAATATCGTATAACATCTCGATGTACAGATTAGGTCGTCACATCCGCCGCGACGCGTTACGGCCACGAACAATGGCGAGTTTATCGATAGAATTTCGATGCCGCAACATCGTTACGCTTGCATGCGCACCGCTTATCGATAATTCATACGATACATCACTATAATTACACGGATTGACGTAATTACACAAGCCAATGTACCCAACCTTGTTCCGTATAACGTTTTGTAATGCGTTGCGTTGTGATTTAATTTGGTAGGTTTTTTTCTTATAGAAAACTGTTTTTTTTTCTTTTATGCTTATGATTTAAATTAATTTAAATTTTATAAAGAGGAAATATTTGTGTTTTTGTATGTATTAAAATAACTCAAAAACTGGTCCAATTTCTAAAATCACCATTAAAAAGCTAAGTTAACACACGCTATTTTTTATTATTTTTTTTAATTTTGCGTGGATAAGGTTGGGAGCAACAGTTTATAATAATAAAGGTATCTAGTTCTGTTGCAATTTGGTTAAAAAAGGGTTATCGTCAATGAAAGGTTAAACGTTTGAACTGCCCTTTGGTAACCGAAATTTAAACTAATAACACTGATAGGTTCTGTAATAAAGTAACCTGTAGTTTATCGTATTCTACAACTGACACAATTTCGATAACGGACAAATGTAACTTAAAGTTAACGGTAGCTTAATTTTTTTATGATAACAATACCGTTTTTTATAACAGTGCAAACGAATATTTATTTATGTTACTCTCGGATAGTTTGATAAAAAAATTGTCCATGTATACTGTTGTAAAAGCGAAATGTTTCTTATAGTACAAATATTAACAAAAACTAATATTATGAAGAGGAAAGATTTGTATTTTGGTATGTATTAACAGAACTCTAACTATAGGGCCAATTTTAAAAATTCTTTTACCGTAAGAAAGGTAATTTATCTGTGAGTAACAAAGAATATATTTTTGAAATTCACGCAGACGACGTCGTGAACACCTAGTGTAATAATAAAAAATGAACTCAGATTTTTTTTAAAGTTATATTTAGGTCTTTAAATTACATTTCTATGTTACATTAATGAAATAAACCTGTCGAAGGGACCATAACATTTTAGTTACATCCTCTGTTACGTCATCCATTATAATTGTTTGTTTTAACATTTAATGGGCGCCGGGGTCAACGACCTGTTTGTGTTTACAATAAACGGCGGCCAGTAATTGGGCCGTTCCCACATTGCCCAATGGTGATTCTCTTTGTCACAGGACAATTACACACTTTAAATATATTGTCATGTTATTTTTACTGCAGACTTGTCAAAAAATATGCTTTTAATAGGTAAAACGAAAAGAGGAAAGTTTTTTATTTTTTATTTTTTATGAATGAACTCAAAAACTACTGGACCGACGTAAAAATTCTTATCATTATAAAGCTGTACTATCATTTGTAATGATTTCCATATTTTTTTAAATTTGTTTTTACAGAGAGTCTCATCCTGTGAACTTTCTATTTCTTTGTATATTTATAAAAATATACATTAGTTATTATAGCTTAACATTAGGAACATTCTTACTTTTATTGGACTCTAGCTGTCTGCGTGATATTAAAAATTAATAAAAGATAGCCTAAGTTACTGAGCGAAAACATAGCTTTTTAGTATTGAAAGAATTTCTGAAATCTGCCCAGTAATTTTTAGTTATTTCAATACATTCAAGAATACCAATCTTTCCTCTTTATAATATTTGTATAGACTAGCTGTTCCCACGAGACGTCATTTGCATAAAATTATAATTTCATTTTATTGTTCACATCTGTGAAATTATCAATTGCAAATGTCAATATGACATGACATGATGTCAAACTATGGCAACCTTCCTTCCTTATGGTCTCTTTCCCACATTAGGGTTTTTATCCAAAATATTTACCCCTAAGTTTAACGGCGTGAAAATATATAGCCTAAGCGACCGTTCGCACGGGCAGACTTTGTACGCCGCGGTAAAGTTCAAGGTCAGCAGACTTTTTACGCCTACGAGAT